TCCTTAATATATCACGTGGATACATAGTCCATACTCCCCCATCCCCATTTTTCCCAAGGATGTCCTGTGGTTGGTGTGTTCAAATCAGGATCTAAACATTTGGTTGTTTGGCAACCTGGCATTTGGTTGTTAACATCTCTTAGGTCCCCCATCTCCTGTAACCATACCGGAGGGAGAGCTCTTGAAGCATTTCCTGGGGACCAAAAAATTGCTCAGAAGACTGAAGGTCCTGGGAAGAGGATTAAAAGTGCTGAGAGACCTAGCTCAAAAAAGTGAGACCACAAAAAAAAAAAAAAAAAAAAAAGAGAGAGAGAGAGAGAGACCAGGTCAGGCAAGGAAAGGGGCATTCCCACTTCTTTCCATTAGCTTTAGAAGAATCTATGTACAGGACAACCTGTATGCAGAGACCCAGTCTTGCCACAGCTCTCCCCACCCTTTTTTTTTTTTTTTAATGATAGAGAGAGAGAGAGAGAGGCAGAGACACAGGCAGAGGGAGAAGCAGGCTCCATGCACCGGGAGCCTGACGTGGGATTCGATCCCGGGTCTCCAGGATTGCACCCTGGGCCAAAGGCAGGCGCCAAACCGCTGCACCACCCAGGGATCCCTCCCCACCCTTTTATAAGGAGGGAGACACTCAGGGCCCCATAAGTCTCCTGTCCTCCTTCCCTGGGAAGACTGGAAGATGAGGCCCCAGGGCCCAGGCTCCAGCCAGCAAAATGGAGGATTGGAGATGCCACCTACAGAGAGACTCAATTAATGGAGATTAGTGGAGTTGGAGACATTCGGACCTAGGCTGGAGAGGGCAGTGGGTACTCAGGTGTCCCTGACTCTCAGTGGAGGATGGGCCTGGAGAAGTGGCACAGATGGAAGTTTGGAAAGTTGCAATCTGTTTGCAGTTTCTGGGGGAGGCCGGGTAGTGAGAGAAAATCAGAGTGCCTCTTCTGGAAAGCCAGAGTTCTCTTTTTGTGCCCAGGGGGCTAGACACTTGCTGTTCTGTCTCCCTGCTCTGTGGACGACGGTGCTGACCTAGCACACCCTGCTGGACTTTTTCAAAGCCATTTGCATCTCCATAAACAAAACTAGACTTCAGCCACAGCCTTCTGTCTTCTTGCCTCCCCTCCTGACATTTTTCCAAGATGCTAAACGTGCTCCTAGGAGCCTTGGTTGTAATTGCGCTTACTCTCTGGCCAAGGGACCATAGCTAGAAGGTGGGTACTATCTGTTCACAGAGAGGGGAGGGCCAGGGGAAGGCAGGGCACAGCCCCATCCCCCAGACACCCCTATTTAATCAAAAGTCTTGGTGCCACATTCCTTCTGGGAACAGATTTCACTGCAGAATTTATAGGTCTCTGACTTTCAAGAATTGCAAGGTAGTGTCGGCATGTGGTGAACCTCTTAGCAACCAAGGAGACCCATTGATTAGGAAAGGCCAGCCTGACAGATTTATGCCTGGGTGGCCTCCTTCTCAGTTTATGCTGAGAGTTCATGCTCTTCTGTGTAGCACATAGACAGAGCCCTAGAAGCAATTGCATCACCTCCCATTAATGGCCCCTGGGAATGGCTCTCCCTTGTATTTTAGCTGGGCTCTCTGCTCCGTGGCTGGTAGTGCTGGACCAGTTGGAAGGTAGGATTCTTACTAATGGGATGCCCCTAATTTCATGTTGACCTTCCAGCCATGGGGTTCAACATCTCTTTTCTGGCAAGAGTGTCAATCAGTAAGTGAATAAAAAGAGGCCCCTTCCCTCCCAAGTCTACTGATCCCACTTCATCAAACTTTTCCAAGTACAGTACAAACATCCCCTACAAGGGTTAGGCTCAAAAGTGAATGCAGACATTAGTGAAGTTAGAGGTAGAAATATTCTGTGGGCTGGGGAGGCAGGAAATCACCCTAGGAGGTGCAGGGGAGTAACAAAAAAAAAAAAAAACAAACAAACAAATACAGAATAAAATGTCAAGTAGTAACACATGCTATGAGGAAGTAGGGTGCAGGCCCAGTGAATCGTATGGGGCAATTGGGTGCTATTTTATATAGAGTCATCAGGGAAAGCCTCCCTGAGGAGGTTACATTTGAGCAAAGACTGAACAAAGTGATGAAGTGAATATATGAAGGAGCAAGGACAAAGATACTGAGATTTTGGGTTCCTGGGCCAGAAAGCAGACTATGTGATGGGAACCACAGTGACAGGAGAGACGGAGGAAATTGGGTTAGAGAAGGATCCAGATAGTACAGGCGTGGGGGATCTTGGTGAGCTTGTTGGGTTCCATCAATAGTGCCAGGAAGCTGTTGGAAGGCTGATACCAAGAAAAGTCAAGCTATGCGCTCTTTGTGTCTCCCCTCGGGTGAGACCTAGACCCGGGGCTGAGCTTGCAGGTGCAGCAGAGAAGGCAAGAGGCAGTTAAGTAAGGTAAGAGCTGGGGGAGCTTAGCCTGATGGTCCCCTCAGCAACCTCATCCTCTTCTCTTCCCTTTCTGTCTTACTTCTTCTCCCCTCACTCCCCCTCATTCTTTGGCCCAAAGAGTGTTTTAGTTTGAGAGGGTGAACAGCCCTTGGCTCTCTCATCCCCCCTCCATGTCAAGGGTGTGCGTACTTTCCAACCTGCTCCCTGCCCCCCCACAGAGCTCTGTTGACTCCCAGGCAGAGCTGCAGGGAGTCACAGTGTCATGGCTGCTGATCCGGGTGCCTGGGCCTCTCACTGGCAGGAGTGAGCAGGTCCTGGATCCTAGGAATTCATGCCAGGGTGTCTCTTCAGCAACTCGAGGAAACTAACTATGCAACTATTACGCACCCACTGGTGTATGCTCTGGGTAGGGAGGAGGTAGGGCAGAGAACATTACAAAACCATGAAGAAAATTCCTTCTGTTCCCTCAAGTAGTTTTCCACTAGTGAGCCTGCTAAGGTTGGTGAGAAAAACTGAGAGAGCTCACCTGTGTTTCAGTCATGGCAGGGAGGGAGACATTGCTTTTCAGAAGCTGCCTTGGAGGTCACGCTTGAACCGGGCTTTGAAACACGCAGAGGCCTTCCCAGAGCACGGGGCGTTGGGTGGACATGGAAAGTGTGCCTCCCGCCAGAAGATTTTAAGTCTTGAGCAGTGTGGGCCAGCCCCATGCACTGGTTTCCCTGGTGCCCGGCGCCATGATGAAAAATAGACAAGAAAGGAGGAGTGTGCACCAAGCGTGGATGGGAGACAAGACAAGCACTCAGGAATCCACGAGCTATGTCACTCAGCATTCACTGAGGAGCCACGTGAGGCATTGCTGTGAGGAGGCTGTCAGAGCAGAGAGAAAAATCGAGCTGGATAAGACCATATGGATTCTCCTGGGCGGTTCATTTCCTTGAGATCACAGAGGCTCTCAGAATGGATGAAATCTATCAACTCTCCTTGGAAGAAATGTGTATCTATACACACCCATTGAATTAAATTTTTTTTATTGAGATGTTATTCACATGCCATAAAATTGACCATTTAAAAGAATATAATTCAGTAGTCTTTAGTATCCTCCCAAGGTTGTACAACAATCACCACCATCTAACTCCAGGACATTTTTGTCACTCTAAAAAGAAACCTCCTACCCTCTCAAAGTCATATTCCACCCTCCCCTCTCTCCAGCCCTGGCAAGTACCAGTCTAATTTCTGTCCCTATCAATTTGCCTGTTCTGGGCATTTTATGTAAATAGAATCATACAACATGTGGCCTTTTGCGTCTGGCTTCTTTGACTCAATATAATATTTTCAAGGTTCATCCACATCGTAGCACACGTCGGTACAGTGGACCCATGAACAACCTAGGTTTGAACTGCATATGTGGATGTATGTGGATTTTTTTATATGTAGAATATTTTTTTAAAAATACAGCACAGCACTATAAATGTATTTTCTCATCCTTACAATTTTTTGTAACACTTCCTTTTCTCTAGCTTACTTTATTGTAAGAATACAGTATGTAAAACAGTTAACATACAAAATATGTGTCAATCAACTGTGAATATTATCAGTAAGTCTTCTGATCGACAATAGGCTATTAGTAGTTAAGTTTTTGGGAAGTCAAAAGTTTTGGCTGTGTAGGGGTTCAGTGCCCTAACCCCTGCATCGTTCAAGGGTCAATTGTATTATGAATAATATTTCTGAATTATATTCCATTGTATGGAATTCTATTTATTCACTTATCAGGCAATATACTTTTCAGTTGTTTCTACTTCTTGACTATGAGAATAATGCTGCTCGAGCATTCATAGACAAGTTCATACACCAAAATTTGCCAACCATTTCCGGAGGTTCACTGAACCTCTGAAACCCATCTCTTGATCTAGTAAAACCTTGTTTTACAGAAAGGGAGGAATTCAAGAAGCAATGAACCCATCAAATTATTTACATTAAATATGTCCAGTTTTTTATACATCAACTATACCTTAATAAAGCTATTATCCCCATAATACAGATGAGAAAACTGAGGCTTAGAGAAGCCAGGCCAGGCTGGGTGGAGAAGTCGGGCTTTATGCTGAGCGGAGAAGTCGGGCTTTATGCTGAGCTTTGGCTGCCAGGCTGTGAAAAGCAACTTTACATCCAAATTCCTCTTCACTTCCACTGAATCCCCGATTTCCTTCAATTTACTCTTGAACAGAGTCCTAATGTTCTATTTGCCATCTGTTTTGCTAAGCCCCAGAACCAGCCCAGCACACAGTGGGCGTCCTAGACTGCTGTCCCTGACCCTTCCCCAAAGTGAGCCAGGACTGAAGGCCCCACCTCCGTCCTTCCCATGATTCTCCAGCCCAGCCAGAGTGTGTCTGGCTGTAGGCACAGGAGCTCAGGGGAAGCAGGGGCATCTTCTCAACAGCTGAGACATCGGTAACCACTGCCCTCAATGCGATGTCCCTCTGCATATGCCCTGCCCTCTGAGGAGGTGCCAGATTCGGGCTAAGGACGGCATGCGGTGGGGGGCTTGAGGGGGTGGGTGCCGACCCAAGCCCACTGTCAGCCACCACGCTCTGCTTTGTCTCCCAGCCGGTGGACAACCAGCAAGCCCTGGTCCGCAGGGAGTCTGTGGTCAACCTGGAGAATTTCAAGAAGCAGTATGTCCGCAGGCGATGGAAGGTGTGTCGGGGTGGAGGGACGGGGAAGCAGGGGGCCCCGGCGGGTTCCTAGTTCCCTCCAGGGTTGCTGTGCACCTTCTCACCTGGCAGCCCGTTTGCTCTCTCCCCCAGCTCTCCTTCAGCATCGTCTCCTTGTGTAACCACCTCACCCGCTCCCTGATGAAGAAGGTGCACCTGAGGCCAGATGGGGACCTGGTAGGTACATGCAGTGCTCACTTCTTGGGCAGCATTCTGGGGTGGCCTGGAGCCCGGGGATGGAAGGGAGCAGGTGGGTCCTAACTATTTCCCGCTGTTCTGCTCAGTCCTGTTCTCCTCTGTGCTGTGCGATCAGCAGAGGCTGCTTGTTCAGGGGGACACCTGGGGTGGTGCCAGGAGGGGAGCAGTCCAATGGGGCAGCATGGGCTTCTGGAGGATCCTGAATCCATTCCTGGTGGGCCTTCAGAGGGACTGCTGCTGCCGCTTCACTGCCCCAGTCCCTGAGGACTTGTAGCCTGCCTTGAAGACTCTGAGTAATGAGACCACCACAATCCATCCAAAATGTATTCCTGACAATCCAAAGATCTACTGTAGAATCAGAGCGTAATATTCGTTTTTCAGTTTTTCCATTTGCTTTGCTTTCGATTGCCATCAATAACAATAACAACAATAATAATACTTAGATGATATTTGACTAGCTTGTTAATGTTTATGTACATTTATTTTTTAAAGATTTTACTTATTTATTCATGAGAAACACCGAGAGAAGCAGAGATATGGACAGAAGGAGAAGCAGGCTCCCTGCGGAGAGCCTGATGTGGGACTCAGTCCTAGGACCCTCAGATCACAAGCTGAGCCAAAGGCAGATGCTCAACAACTGAGCCACCCAGGTGTTCCAAAAGTTTTTTTTAAAGATTTTATTTATTTATTCATGAGAGACACAGAGAAAGGCAGAGACATAGAGGAAGAAGCAGGCTCTATGCAAGGAGCCCAGTGAAAGACTTGATCCCAGGACCACAGGATCACCCCCTGAGCCAAAGGCAGACACTCAACCACTGAGTCACCCAGGTGCCCCATATATACATTTAAAATGAGGAACTCACACTGGTCAAGAGAGTGGACTCTGGAACCAGACTTTCAGAATTCATATCAGCCACTTGCTAGTTATGTGACCTTGAGGAAATTACTTAACTTCTCTGTGCCAAAATGCTATCATGTATAAAATGGGGTTAACAACAGGTCCTATCTCATAGGGTAGATATGAGGATTAAATGACATATTCTTAGAGCCTGACATTTTAAGTGCTCACTGTGTAATATCAGTTATTATTGTGTAAAATCTCCTTGGAGACCTTAAAATGCAGTGCCAGTGCTTCAGAATGCAGTGTTAGTATTTCGGCTCATAGAGGTGCCCCGGATAGATGCTCCCCGCCACTCATCAAATGTGGTGAGGCCCCAGAAGTGTATGGGATGGGAGAGGTAGGGACAGAAGTGGCTCCTGTTCAGGAAGAGCAGCCACCTGAGACAGATGGGATAGTCAACCCAGAACAATCTCAGGACACCCAGCACTCGGGCTGCATTCCAGGACCTGGCACAGCTCCTCTCTCGCCCCCACATCCTGGGATCCTCTTTCTTCAGCAGAAGTTCTTGTTGATTCTTGCTCTTGTTTTGAGGATTTATGGCTCCAGAGGCCCAAACCAACTGTGTGGCTTTGGCAAAGCCATGTCCCTTCTCTGACTGCTCTCATCTGCTATTCAAGGGGACTGGACTTTCCCTCTGAAAATCCCTGTTAATGACAGGCAGACTTTCCCCCAGCTTACTTTTTCATTGTTTGGCTCTGACTCATGCTAAAAAGTTGCTATTCAGCAGAGCCTGAGTTATTTTTATTGTGATAGCCGGGCTTGGTCCAGGATGTATTTGGCTAAAGTTAATCTTGACCTTGGATTTCCAACAGGCTCAGAACAGGGGAAGGAGAGAGAGAGAGAAGGCTCTGGGAAGGTACATGGCACATAAGTTGCTCTGATAGAATGGAGGCTGTGGGGAGACAGGACCAGAGAATAATTAGAAAGAATATAAATTTCTTTCTTAATTTTTGTCCTTGTGCAAACATTTAAAATTAGCCCTCTTTTTACTTAAACACTCAGTGCCATCAGCTCAGTGGCTCATTCTACAAGTGGAAAAGGAAAGCTTGGGTCCCAGACATCTATTATATAGTTTTCCTAAAGGGAATTTCCTTTCAATAATAATGATGATATTGTTGTTGTTGTTAATAGTAATAATAGGTCCTTTTGTTCAGGCAGCCTTAAAACTGAACATCCAAAAACAGATTTTTTATGACACACAAGAGTCTTTCTGAATTAGTACCTTTTAAAATAAATTTTAATAGTGTGATTAGACTGATGTGGCTTGAATAAAAAAGGGCCTATGACCTCCCTGACGGCTTCCTTGAGCCTGGTTTAGCCATGGAATGCACTTTACTCTTTTCCTTTTTCATAAAGATGGAGCACAGGAGCCATGTCCCTGGAAAACTGGCAAGGCTTGCCAGAGATACAGCCTAAGCTAGTCAGAGCAGAGGGGGTGTGGCACAGTGGCCGTCAGAGCCTGGGGAGGACCCTGTGGCTCACCCCTGTCTCCCATTCTCTCTCTAGGCTGAGTTCAGGAGACCCGTCAACCCACAGAGCACTTATCTAAGTGGTCTTGGTTATGTGACAGCTACAAAGAACACCACCTGTCATCTTCATTATTATTATAATTTGGTTTCTCCTGGGGCCTGGTTTCTCCTAGATACACTGCCTACTTTCCTTCCTCCTGGGAAGGAGGCCTCAAGGCAGTTGGTCTGGCCCCGTTTTGGGTCCCTTCCCACCCCCACCCAATCCACTCCCAGATTCTGGACAGAACAACATTTGCCTCAACATCCACCTCCCTGGCTTTTTTTCTGTTGTTTTAAAGATTTTCTTTATTTATTCATGAGTGACACAGAGAGAGAGGCAGAGACACAGGCAGGAGAAGCAGCTCCCTGAGGGGAGCCTGATGCAGGACTCAATCCCAGGACTCCAGGATCATGCCCTGAGCTGAAGGATGACTCTCAACCACTGAGCCACCCAGGCATCTCTCTACCCCCCTGGCTTGCAGGCCCCTGACCCAGACGTATCAGCCAGGCTGCCCAGCACAACCCCATCCCTGGCCACTCATGACCCTCTTGCCCTGGGCCTCTTTTTCCTTTTTTTTTTTTTTTTCCAGAGGAATTGTGAGAGTGACACAGAGGAGGACATTGCCAAGAGGAAAGCTCTCCACTCCCGGAGGAGGAGCAGTACCTCCTAGTGGGCCTGGATCTCTCTGTGAAGACTCCAGGTCCCCACTCATCACCAGCACCCAGGCATTTCTGCATCCATGAACACTTTGCAAGACAGATGTGCCTGTAGGATTCAGAAGAATTTACAGAGGAACAAGGAGCCCCCGGGAGCTCTGGTCATCTCCTATGGAGGAGGCCTCTACCTTCCCAAAGCTCTTATTCTCATAAAACAGGCTTTCACCTGTCTGCCAACCTCAGAACCTGCAGTGGAGGTGTGGACTTGAGAAGACAATGTAAATGAACATTATCATCATGGGGGAAGGCCAGACTCGGGCAGGTTACCTCACAGGATGAGGGAGTTCAGACCTAGCGTGGTCAAAGACAGAAGCCTCCCATGTGGGAACAAGAAGAATGAATGAAGTGAGCCTTAGAATGTGAGGGATCAATTCTGTGACCTCCCAGAACTCACATGCAGTCTGCATGTTGGGCTGACCAACACAGTAGACCTTCTAAAAGCAGCTCACTGTATTGTAATTTTTTTTCATTTTTTATTAAACTTCTGATTTACCTGATGTGTGGCTACTTTTAGGGTTATCCCCATCTGGTTTTCTTTAGCTCAGGTGCCTATGACTCAGGGGGAGCACCCAGGGTTGGGGTGCTGAGTGGACAGGGCCTCAGAAGGTAACAGTGAACCATCCCCTCTGGACATTAGGGTACCTGCATTCTACATCCTTCCCTAAAGGTTTTCAGCCCCCTCACATCAGCACAGATGCAGTATTAAATGCCTGTGCCCCCTCCACTACTACTACCCTCACCATTGCTAGCAGGGGCTCAGTTGTGTCTCTCAACCCCCAGTATCACAGAATATGACTATATTTGGAGATAGGGTCTTTAAAGAGGTAATTAAATTAAAATGAGGTCATTGGGGGTGGGCCCCAACCCAATGTGCTGGTGTCCTTTCAAGAAGGGGAGATAGGACACTGAAGAAAGACCGTGTGAAGACACAGGGAGAAGGAAGCCATCTACAGAGTAAAGAGAGAGGCCTCAGAGAAATCAACCCTGCCAATATCTAGACTGATGGCTTCTAGAGCTGTGAGAAAATAAATTCTTGTTGTTTAAGCCACTCATCTGTGCAGCTTTGTTAGAGTGGCCCTAGAAAATGAATACACCTGCCAACTGTGAGCAAGATAGGGGCAGAGGACTTCTTCTTCTTCTTCTTTTTTAAGATTTTATTTATTTATTTGAGAGAAGAGAGAGCACAAGGGGTTCTTGTGACCGGGCTGAGGGAGGGAGGAGAAGCAGACTCCCAGCTGAGCAGGGAGCCTGACATGAGGCTCAATCCCAGGACCCTGGGATCATGACCTGGGCCGAAGGCAGATGCTTAACTGACTAAACCACCCAGGTGCCCAGGGCAGGGGACTTTTGAAAGATGTGGATGGAGAAGGGAAAAGAAGGACCCACAGGGAGGGGCATCTGGGTGGCTGTCTGCCTTTGGCTCAGGTTGTGATCCCAAGGTTCTGGGATCAAGTCCCACATCAGGCTCCCCACAGGGAGCTTGCTTCTCCCTCTGCCTATGTCTCTGCCTCTCTCTGTGTGTCTCTCATGAATAAATAAAATATTTAAAGAAAGAGAGACCCACAAGGAGAAAAGAGAGGAAAAAGAGATGGGTTTCATGGACCCTGGAAGGAATACAGTAAAGGAACCTTAATGATGTAGAAATCTGGGCCCTGCTTTCCAGGCCAAAAGAATGATGACACTGACCAGAAACCCAAGAGCAGATCCTTAGAAGCCAGAGATCAGGGTGAGTCATTGAGACTGAGAAAGTATGTGGGAAGAGGTGGGAAGAAAGGGAAAATTTTGGAAGGTGAGTGAGGGAAACGTGAGCCAGAAAGAAGAGAGAGCAAGGAGAATGGGCAGAAAAGAAAGGGCCTGGGGAGGAAGGGAGGTACCCTTTCCTTTTATCAGCAGCAGGTTTGAAGCACATGGTGCAAGGGAGTGGGCCACACTGCCCTCAGCCAGTGCGTGGCTCCAGAGCAAAACGGCCCCACAGGAACAAAAAGGCAACCCAGTTCTAGAAAAGCCCCCAGGCAGAATGGGAGTGGGCCTGTCAGGGTGTTGGGGATGCTCTGTAGCTAACCTGTAGGTCCTGCGTGTCCCCAGCTCTTAGGCAGAACCAGCTCCATGCCTCACTGCAGCCTCTGGAGGACAACTGAGGCTGGGAACCAGGTCCAGGGCCTGTGAGGGGCTCTCGACGGTGGCTGGGCACATCAGTCAGCAGAGAATGTTCTGGAATGGGCTAAGCGGGAGCTCCTTGGAAGTAAAGTATGGTAGAGCGTGGGGGGTCTGCCTTCCTGCTGGGAAGCAGAGCAGTGACTGGTGTTGACAAGCCCAGCCGTGAGTTTCCAATCATGACCATAGAGTTAGCCCTTTGGAATCTATGCAGCCCAGCCACTGCCCTTCACTGAAGAGGAAACTGAAGCCTGGACAGGAAGTGACCAGTCCTATATCACACAACAGATTTGTGAAAATGTCTGATGAAAGCCCAGACTTCCTGACTCCTGGCACCGTGCTTGTTCCTTCAGTTTGGTGAACTGTGTCAACCTTTAGTGAAACGTATGGACATTTTACTTTGCCTCATTTTAAACAAGTTCTCGTCAGGCCTTTCCTGTGCCCTGCCTTGTACTTCACTCCTGGAAATGGATGACGTTGTGACACTTGTTCCTGTCCATCTTTTCACAGTAAAGGATACTGCTGCCCAGTGGGGACATCAGTCAACCTCCATGGGCTGTGAGTCAGTCAATGAACTAGTATGTACCTGGCAGTGTTCTAGATGCTGGGGTTTGGAGAGTGAACAGGACAGACATGGTACCTGCCATGAAAGGGTCCACATTCTTCTGTAAGTCCTGGGAATCCAGGACTCCCACCTGCCCACACTGCTCCTCCTAGGCCTCTTCTCATCCAGGCTCCTATCAATCAAGACCTGCTGACTGAGTCCCCTCAGCCCAGCTCTCTGGGGTTCTAATGGCACCCATTTGGTTTCCCAGATCCCTTGGGAACACAGGGCCAGGTAGAGAACAGAGGGGGGCCTTTGAGGGCCAGCAGCCAGAAGAAGCCAGGTGCCCATGCCACTCCCATACAGAGGCTCAGTCCCTGCGGCCTCTGTCCTGGCAGATGGCTGGTGCCCTCCAGGTGTGAAGATGAAGGGAGCAGCTGGCAATGGGAACCAAGTATTTAGGCTTGGCTCTGAAAAAGGATGTGCTGGCCAGCTGACACTTCAAGACTGAAAGACACCACAGTGTACTCTGAGGTGAATGGAATATTCCAGTGATAAAAGCTGTGCTCAGTTAAAAGGCAACTCTTCAAAGAAATCTAAGGGAGCCCTGCCCCAGAGTGTCTGCCTGTGTGTTTGCAGGATGCCACATTAATATTTCACAAATGCACACATAAATATTTTAGAATACTGTGTTTTAATGTCAATCTCACCAGCCTTCCTGACTCCAGATCTTAGATTGCATTTGCCATTTCCACTCACATATTTATTTGGTGAAAACCTTATTTTGGAGGTGAACCACAAAATCTCTGTGAAAGAAAAGTCAAGCCCTATGCTCTACAGACACCAAAGTAGGTAAATGTGAAAACTAAACTGAGGACTGAGGTATTGCAAGGAATTTTATCTGGCGCCGGCTTGTAGAACTTTCTTTCCACCTGGTTCCCAGCAACATGTCATCCCAACATTGTTCTGTTCGCTGTAGCTGGACCCCAAAGAATAATGCCTTCTTGGGTAGTCTGCTAAGAGGATCCCACTCTAAGCAAACCTTGATGGGCTTAAGGATGGGAGCAATTGCAGGGTAGTGAACAACGGGTAATTGACATTTCAAAAAGCAGAAACACAGTCAGTGACCTTGCACTCATAGTTTCTCTCTTCCTGTTTTTCCATTTCTCCCACTAGTTCTCTTTTTCTCTGCCACTCCATCCATTCACAAGTCATAATATATAGCTGAAGTACCTGTTTTAGTAGTGTCTTCACTTACTGAATAAAATTCATGTTCTCAGTTCTTAATCTAGGAAACAGTTGATTGTATTATCTAGGGGGGAAATAATTTTGTAAGGATTTTCCCCCCACGGTGGATCAGTGATCTCCACCCGTGAGCTAGAAGAAAGCCAAGGGGAAAAGAAAACAACAGAAGGTCACAGTAATTTTTAAAAACCTGTTCTGCAAGAGGAACACTTCATAGATAGGCTTTATACCCTCTTCATAACCTTATAAGGGGAATAAGAGCCTCATTGATACAGATGAGGAAGCTGAGTCTTGACAAGAGTTAAGAAATTTGCATGCAATCACACAGCTTGAGCACTTGAGATTTAGATTCTGCCCGGTTTTGCCTACCGGCCAATCCACATTCTTCTCTACCATTCCTGGAGACAACAGTGTGGAGTGAAAAAAAAAGTACCCCAGAGAAGCACGTATCAGTATACTATGTTTATAAAGCTCAAAAACTATACCATGCATCTTTTAGGAATACAGGCAAATATGATAAAACTACATGTTAAAAGCAAGGCAATGACCTCGCTCAAAATTCAAGGCCAAGCTTACCTCTGGATGGCTGAGGTGAGGAGGCACACAAAGCTGAGCGCTAGGCTGTTGGAGCCTTCTAGCCAACACTGAGTTCATGGTGGGCTCACAGGAGTTCATCATTGTGCTTTCTTACTTATATATATTAGTTATCGACTCTTTTGCATCTATCAGATATTACATTACAATAATAAAGAAAGAGGAAGTGGGGTGAAAAAAGTAGATCCTAATGGTCATCAGGTCATCAGATGCCAGAGTGGACAGGACATGCGGCCTCATGGTGACTATCCCTGAATGTGCCTTGCCCGTTGAAACTCATTGACAGACTTTTCTCTGTTCTTTTACTGACACCTTGATCAGAGCTCATCCTGCTACCCTGTGAGAGTACCTGGGCTGGATTAATATTCCTATTTTAGTTTTTAGAGAGAGCAGGAGAGCACAAGTGAGGCAGGGAGGGACAGAGGGAGAAGGAGAGAGACTCCTAAGCAGGCTTCACTCCCAGCACAGAGCCTGACGTGGGGCTTGATCTCACGACCCTGAGACCATGACTTGAGCCAAAATAAAAAGTCAGATGCGTAAACAACTGAGCCACTCAGGTGCCCCATTAATACTCCCATTTTAAAGAAAAGGGGCAGAAAATGCCTCCTGCCCCTCCCAGCACCACCTCCCCAGTCATCACCTCCCCTTTGAAGTTTGCCTAAGGACTCTCGTCTGAAGACATCTTCTGAGCCCAAGTAGACTGAGCTTGCCAGCTCTTGCTCTGGGTGTCTTTTCATATCCCTTTGAGTTTAAATGCAGAAGCCAGACGGGATTTGAAAAGCCATCTGGGCCATTCCCCTGTTCTTGGGCAGGGCTGCACTTGGGTTTCTTCATCTCATTTTGAATTGAGAGAAGGTGATCCTATGCCTTTCATCAATTCCCTTTTCTGGTTCTTTTTTTTTAAGATTTTATTTATTTATTCATGAGAGACAGAGACGAGAGAGAGAGAGAGAGGCAGAG